TTGACTCAGAGACTCAACCTGATATACGTCTAAGTGGTGAAAAAATATTGGACAATCATTGCCACTTTGAAAATGAAAAGGGAGTGGTAACATTGCACCCATCTTCCGAAAGCACAACTATGGTTAATGGTCAGCGAATAGCTAAGCCAAAGAAGTTAAAATCAGGATTTCGAATCATCCTTGGAGATTTTCATGTATTCAGGTTTAATAACCCTGAAGAAGTTAGACGTGAACGTGAGAGACATAGTAAGCCTTCTTTGCAAATCAATCCAAACATCATGCCTCCTAATGGAAATGGGGATGATACAAAAGCTCCCGATTCCCCTACTTCAACGGCTTCTCTCATGTCGGAGGCCGTTATTGATTGGAATTATGCACGAAGAGAAGTAGCACTTAACTATTTGAATAATACCGGTGGTCCTGATGCACCGGCTCTTAGCTCTTTGCCAGACGAAGATCTTCAGAGACTCATGGATGACTTAAAAAAGATCCAAAGTGCTAGAAAGATTCGTCCTGATAGTCGAAGTGGCGATTTTGATGACGCTGCATCAGAAAAAACTGCTTCAATTGGTACTTTGGACACCCTTGAAGGTCCCGGTACACCAACAGTCGAGTATGAAGAGAAAATTAGGGTCATCAAAGAAGAGTTGCAACGGGACCTTGACATGCAAAAACAAGAATATGAAGAAAAGATGAAACAGCTAGAAGCATCAAACATTGAAACAGATGTACTAAGAGCCGAGAAAAAACAGATGGAAGAAAAACTCAAAATGGTTCAAGAGGAAATGGCAAGAGTGTTAGAATCTCAGGCGTATCCACAAAAAATGAAACGATTGTCCGACGCTTCCCAATATACTTACTCACCTGATTCTCCGCCTTATACAGAAGAACAATTGCGTCTTATTAAAATGGCGCTTACAAAGTGGAGACGTCAGAGATTTGTTCAAATGGCAGAAGTCATACTCAGTAATGCAGTCATATTAAAGGAAGCAAATGTTATTAGTAAAGAACTTGGTAAAAAAATACTTTATCAATTTACCATCATTGAAGATGAACCATATACTAATCCCGTATCATCTTGGGAGAGTACTTCAGCTTTGAATCAGTATAATAATAATGAAGATACATCATTACACTCCTCTAGGAAGCCATGCATTGGCGTTAAAGTTATAGATACTAAAAATGATGTTATATATATATGGTCACTCGATAAACTTAAAAGTCGTCTACAAAAAATGCGCAATCTATATAACTTTATCGACCGTCCGCAATATAGCAAACATTTTAATTGGGAAGACCCTTTTTACGAAAATCCTTCTCCACAATATACTTTTATAGGTAGTTGTGCTGTGGGTTTGACATGTTTGCTTTTAAAAAGAGAATACGAATGTGATGCACCAATTATTTGCAGATACTCCGGTGACCTTGCTGGTTATTGTCGTATTCGTATTAAATTTCTCACAGAATTTGAAGAATCATCTTCGAAGGATACACCAACAACAGATGACAAACAAAAAGAAATATCTCAGAAATTGTTGGTTAATAAATTGGTTGTTTTTGAGGTTAACATTATAGAACTTTGTGGTATTTCTGAGTCACGGTATGACCAAGTTCACGTACAGTATAAGTTATCTTCTTTTGGGAACGTTGCACCTCTTTCTCCCAGTGAGCATGTATATTACACGGAACGCGCTAATGATTTTGGAAATTCAAAAATTACCTATAATTACAAACAAAATTTAACTATGGCTGTATCTCCCGCTATGATGGAGGTACTTACCAATGGTGTGCTTACTTTCGAAGTATTTGGTCGCGCAAAACGTATTGTATTAGAAGAATTAGAACAGTGGGATAATGAAAAAGAATGTCCATCCTATAGAAGAAACAATGGAAATGTTGCACCTGAATCTTCAGTTCCTAGAGAGAGACGTTCGGAAGAAGAATTGGTAGCAGAAGAAAAACATGATGTGGTTGCATGGGTTCAGGTTTGCGAACTTGCTTCCACGGGAGAGTATGTGCCAGTTCAAGTCCTTTCGCAAAATTCTCTTGATCCAGGTGCATTTTTCTTACGACAAGGTCTTCAACGACGTATTGTTCTAACGTTAACACATAATTCTGGTCGACAATTTCCATGGACTAAAGTATCAAAAATGGAAATCGGTCGGGTACGGTTACTTGATGGAAAAGGACGATTGTCTGAATCACCAGTTCAGAATGATATACAGATGAATTTATTACCAACACAAACTGTCCAATTTAATAGAGATGGTACTAGTGTTATTGTAGTCCAAGCATCCTGGGATAGTACACTTCATGATTCCATTTTCCTGAACAGAACAACACATTCTAGTAGTAGAGTTTTATTAGGACTCACATGGTACGTTGAAGCCGAAAAATGTGTAGAGCCGATAACCTTCTCCATGGACATTGCAGTGCAAGTCCAAGGTCGTGAGGCTCGACCACCATCAAAGTTGATACAATTATTAAATCAATCAAAAGTATTATGGAAATCTAGCGGGCTGTTTTCCGTCACACTTAAACCTCCAATGACTCGAAAAATTTCCGAACTTTGGCGGCTTAATACCGCAAATAAATATGTTCGTGGGGAAGAACTCTTGATAGAGTGGAAACCTCGTGGAGTGTCATTAGTTAAAGATTATAAAAAAATTAGTGAACTTATACGTAGAAGGGAAGCAGTTGATTGTATGAAACAACTTATTGAGTTAAAAGGAACAAAGGAATATGAGCAACTTAAAAGTTCCGAAGATTTACGTAAATATGTTTTAACACTTTGGACGAAAAAATGGGGAACAACTAAAGAGGTTAGATTTGAATTTTAGAATTTTTTATTTCAAAACCTATTGTTCTAGTTTATTTATAAATTAACTAATTTTGCTTTGTAATAGATCGTTATAAACCAAGAGCCACCACTTTCAGGACTCCATCAAGACATAGAATTATCAAGGGGAAAGAAACCAACTAAGTTGGTTGCACAAGTTCGGATGGTGGCAAAAACGTGAGTGAAATTGCGATATTGTTATCACTATTATCACTGATTCTAATAATATTTCTGTTATCATTAGTGATACGATAACTAAAAAGGGGTATCTATTTACTCCTGAAGATGCTAACGATGATCATTGGGTTAAGAGGTGGTACGTCTTGAGAAGGTACGTTTATCTAATCAATTAATTTTATAATAGTCCTTATGAACCGATGCATGATTCGTATTTATAACAATTTTTTATGATGTGTATGTAGACCATACCTATTCATCTACGAATCACCTAAAGAAACTGAGGAACAAGGTGTTATTAACTTGGCATCGGTTAGAGTTGATTATAAGAGAGATTTAGAGGATATGCTTCAGGTAAAATCTTTAGCAGTTACAAATATATTTTCTTTACATCTTAACAATTGTTCTTATACATTGAATTCTTAAATTTTTTCATTAGCGTCAACACGTATTCGCTATATACACCAACAACAACGCATATATCTTGCAGGCATCTTCGAAACAGGATATGGTAGATTGGATTTCCAAGGTATCAATCATAACAGTTTGCAACAATTAATATACATTTATGAAGATACCGAGAACATTCTTACTTAGACATAATTTTCGATTTATACTAGATTGATCAATTCTTTCAAGTCCAATTTTTGGATTAAAAAGGAGGACGGATCAATTAAACAAACAATATTTGTTAATTTTATATGTACTTTTCCACATGCTTTTTTTATGTTTATAATGTAGAATAAACTGTACGTTTAGCAATTTCTGTTTTAGACTTGCGATACGGCGAACGAACCTATTATTTTATTTAATTTCATTTTTTACGCGGTACTATTCTTACACATAATTCTTTCCACAAAAAAAAAAAAAAAAATCTGGATATCGAATGGGTATAATAAAATGTAAATGGTAAATTGTTGCCTCTAATTAGGGAATAAAAATTTAGTGCCTTTAAAAATAGATTATAATATGGATGATTAAACAAAATTATTATTGTGGCATATTTTTCATCAGTTGTACGATTTTTCACTAGAGATATGCATTCGCATGAGTATTATTCTCTTGCAAATTAAATTACATGATATATCTCGTGCGAAATGAATTCTTAATAACAATTATCGTTATACAATTCTTCAAAGTAAAAAGCACTTAGATTTTATTAAAGAAACAAAGGAATAATGTTACGTAATCAGGGGTATTCACCGGGGTGTTATATCTCAAAAACTAGTTAAGGTTGTATGTTTTAAGTAAAAATGTTCAGAACCCTCCAAAAATTTAAATTTAAATCTTTGCCTTTGTTAGCATCTATAGTCTGTTGACAAATAACAAATGTCATTTAAATTTTAGTGATAAATGACAAATAACAGGTAATTTCATTTAAAAATAACAAATATTAATAGTGAATAGTTTCTAACCCATCAGTCCGTTTTGGATGATTTTACTACCATCTCAATAAAAAGGTTCTATATGCCAATAATCAGTAAAATCCAATTATGGGATTCCAAAAGCTGTGTCAATTTGGATGTTTTAGAATTTAACTAATCCTAAAACACCCGAAACCTTAATGATTTTTAGAATCTACTTTAACATTTTTAAATATAACCTACAATGTGACAAATGACAATGTCACAATGTCATTTATGTCATTTAAAAGTCACTTGTTAACACTGTCTAAAGTAACTACGAACGTGCGTACGTACCTATCTAAAGTACGTAGCCACTTTATATGAGTGTCGCCAAAAGAAAACCCGAAAATTTAAATATGACTTATATTTAAATTTTCGGGTTTTCTTTTAACGACACTCATATATCTAACGTAGCCCTTACTAAAATTATAACAATGCATGCATGAAGATCTAATTTCAGGGACTTAATTTTAGCCAGGCGCTACTTTAGACATATGAAGTAGCTATCGCAACATTTATAAGCTTAAATACAAATTTAAATATGATAAATAAGTAGTTTAACTATCATTTTCTTACAATTTACAATGAATATACGTACGTACGTACGTACCGTATTTCGCGGGCTAAACCACCCTCCCCCGTAAAATAATTATCGGATAATACGGATATTTTGATGGTGCATGCGGATGTATAATATATTTATTATACTGTATGGTGTGTAATATTGTCTATTACATATTGTGAAAGCCAATCGTTAGTTTAATAATTGCGATTGTTTCATTCGTATTATCCGACAGGGGAGGGGTGGTTTAGCCCGCGAAATACGTACCAATTATTTTATCTTTTTTTAACTATATATAATTTATACGTATAACAGTATTAACTTTTTAAAAAAAAACTATATTACGTATATATTTTACAAAATTGTGATCGATTTTTAAAAAATTTATTATAAGGTTATATGCCACCTTGTGTAGTAAATAATTTATTGCTACTCTATCTTAAATTGACTAACTGACCCTAACTTTAAAGTGATGTGCGTTATCAAATTACTATTAAATTAAGACGGGGTGGTATACCAACTCGGATGGCACACAGACTTTTTTAAAAAAAAAATTATTTTTTAATTAAACAAATTTGTAACATTTTTTATAATTTTTATAATTAAAAATTAAGTAAATAAATTATTTGAATTATAAATTATCGTAGTGCACTGATCAAAACCGTGTGACACGATTTTTTACATAGTGAAAATTTAAAAATCACATGAATTACACAATTGTTTACATCACGATTGTCACGCCGGGTACTTTGGTCAGTACATTACGGTAACAACTTTATTATTAGTTAAAAATATATTCTTGTATAGAGGTTTTTATTGTTATTATTTATAAATTAAATAAGTTAATGTATTAAATTTTAAAATTTAATTATATACAAAATTTTATTGAAAATTTAAATATATACTATATTTTTTATTATTTTATAATCCTTTGTTAGAAGTTTTAATTACTAGTAATTCAAAGAAAATCTTTTATTAAAGTTATTATACTTTTTATTTTTATAATCTTTGTAAAGTTAAATCAAATAATTAATTTATTTAAAACAATAGACTAGACTAGTCGGTGCATCAACTAAATTTTTCCTAAAACAATTATATAATTAGTTAAAATAATCTTTTTTTCTTTAGTGAATCTTATTGATTTATTTAAAAAAAAGAACTAAACTTTTATATAGGCAATATATCCATTACAAAACTAGTATTTTTTTTTATAATTCGGCTGTCCTGCCACTTTTTATTGAGATTAAACTATATTAAGAAATTTACATTCCCTAATAATAGCTATACTT